GCCCTGGTGTGCCCGTCTCCCAATTTAATGGCATGTTACTGTGAGCGGTTGCCCCGTCTGTGCATTGAGGTCGGTTATTCCGTCTACTGGTTCCGCCCACCCATCAATCCACATGCATGCCCCGCCGCTTGTCCACGAACCATAGTAAGCATTGGAAGCCAATAGATGAAGGGTAAGCATGTTTTGCCGGTGAGCGTGTGTCTTTTCAATTCGGTGATTGCTGTCCTATGCGTAAGCGACGACTCCGTCTTTAATCTCTGCCTGTTGTTATGAGGCGGGCAGGGGGTCGCTAAGCTGGTGTATCTGCTTGGGTAACATCGCAAACTCCGAGCTATCCTTACCAGAACCATTGCTCCGTCACCGACCGATTAATCGTACGAATCCAACGGCCGATCAATTGTCGGCTATTTTAATTTGACACTGCACCCACAACCTACCAACCTGTAGGCTGCCAAGTGACCCCCACCGAAATCCGGTCCACATCTCTCACTCGCGGACCGCACAACATGAACCACAATGATGACACCGCCACCAACCTCAATGGAGACGAGAGCGAGAATGAACCATTCCCTGAATTAGAGACCGATTCGGACGCCGCCCCTTCGGATGCCTCATTGTACACCGACACCGAGTCAATGACGCCCGATGACAGTGACGATCGCGATTCACCCCTCCCCGACCAAGTTAACCTTACGACTGCCACCATGGCCACCATAATGCTGAAGCCCCCATGGACGATGTGCAGCTATTTAGTCGAGGGATCCGCCGCCGCCAATACAACATCCACGGGCATGATGCCACCAATGTCGCCTTACCAGAACACCTACGGGGTGATATCCACCAACCCCGCAGGTGGCACGCACTGATCAACCACACCATTTAGCAGTGGCTCAACGAGGGCCAAACCCAACCTAGCCATAACCCGTGGGGTGACGACCACCGAGTCGCCCGGCATCGCCTACATATGTGTGCTGTAAAGTGCTGCGTAAAGAAAATAAAAATAAAGGGAGAGCGAGAGAGAAAAGGGGGAGGGAGTGTGGACAGACTCGCCTCCTGAGATGTGACATGCTTCGGACTGCTGGATTGTTGTGTGTCGGCTTCATTCGTGGCAACCGCCATCATCATTCGACAACGACGTCATCAACCTACGCTGGCCCCGTTCATCGCCATCGACTCCGACAACCGTCGTCAACCTGGTGGCAGCCACGACCGATCAAGATGAACCAGCAACCTCTGCACGGACATCAACCCAACTTCGGGGCAGCCCAACCTGCCCAAGGACAAGGGGGGGGAGCGCCCCAACTGCCCCCTCCGCACGGCGGAGCGCCCCACGCGCCCCCGCCGCCGCCACCGCTGCCGCCGCAGGCAGCGGGACACCTCCCCCTGCAGGGGGGGGTTGGAGGTGTGCTACCCGCCCACGCGGGTGGCCCTCCGCCGCCGCCGCCGCTGCCGCCGCAGGTAGCGGGACACCTCCCCTCACAGGGAGGGGCTGGAGGTGTGCTACCCGCCCACGTGGGTGGCCCTCCACCGCCGCCGCTACCGCCGCAGGCAGCGGGACATCTCCCCCCGCAGGGAGGGGCTGGAGGTGCACTACGCGCCCATGCGCGTGGCCCTCCGCCGCCGCCGCCGCCGCCGCCGCAGGCAGCGGGATACCTCCCTCCACAGGGAGGGGCTGGAGGTGTGCTACCCGCCCACGCGGGTGGCCCTCCGCCGCCGCCGCTGCTGCCGCTGGCTGCGGGACACCTCCCCCCGCAGGGAGGGGCTGGAGGTGCGCTACCCGCTCAACCGGGCGGCCCTCCGCCGCAACTACCACAAGCGATGCGGCCCCTACAGGGTGGAGCCCAGCACCAGCCGCTTGGACAACACCTGCAACAGCATCAGCATCGCCCGGCCCAGCAGCCGGTGTACCAACAGCAGCAGCCCCAACCTGGGGGGTACGTCCACCAACCGTATGGTGGCCCTGCGTACCACCCGGCCCAACCGACCAACCCGTATGGGCCGTACCAGCCTTACGGAGGGTACGGCGCCCACCACCGCGTGTACGCGTCCCCTCCGGCATCTCTTCCCGTTACCCACCAGGTGTTTGCTGTCGACCTCAGCCAACACAAGCAGCGGGAGGACATCACAACCAAGGTGACACGCATGATGGGCGGCTCGACCAAGACCTTCGGAACTCCCATATTCCAAGGACCACCGGTCACCCGCCCGTTGGAGCTCAACTTCCGGCAGGACCCTTGCCTTTTCCGGGAGCGCTTGACGGAAGCCTTCCGGATGGTAGGCATGGGAGTCGCTCGTCTGGAGGAAGACGTCCCGACCGCCGCCGGTGCCGGAAACGTCATGAAACCCTGGCCTGATGACCGTACTGCCCTGCGCTTCAGCATCGTGTACGACATGTTCCCCACGACCATGGCTGTCACGGCCGCCATCGCCCAAGGCCAAGACGTTCAAGTTTACAACCTTAACGGGGGCATGACATGGGTGCGCTTTGAGAACTTCTCCGTGACGGACGCCCTTCGACTCCTGGTCGCAGAAACCGCGCGCCACGGTGTCTCCGGCAACCACGCGAAGCACGCCCTGGACAACATTTGCCTGAAGGACGGGGAATCATGGGAAACAGGCCTCAACCGCCTGGCACGCACGGCACGTGCGGCGAGCCTCCTTCCCGACCGCCCCTACCTGTCGGAGGAGCCCTACTACTGGATGGTGATGACTGTTGACGACCTGCATCATCTAATGAACCGTGCGGTGTCACTCTGCTTCCCACAGCGGGTGGACCAAAGCCCATTCCACGCACACCTGGTGAGCGTGATGGAGCAGACACGGCACCTGCTCCAGCAGCACCCTATCGACTCCCACGCCCTCGGCTCCCACCCGATGCGCCTGCGCGGGGACCTCTGCAAAGACTGTTTCCGCAAGTTTGTCACCACCTTGGGCCAGAACTCGTACTACTATGCCCACCCGAGCAGCCAACCCGTGGGCAAGGCCATGTCAGCGCTTCAACCCCACTCCCATCGGCTACCGCCGGGTCAGGATACCTTCTCGCGCCAAACCACGAAGCCCGGCTCATCCCTCGCAATGCTGGAGGAAGGGACTGCACTCGACCCGCTGACAGAGGATCGCCAAGACTCCTCGGACTCAGCCTCTGACACTGGCGATGCTCGTGTGGCTGCGGTCGATGGCCCTGGGACACGGTCGACTGGATATTCTAACCACGGCCCCCGCCGCGACCGCACCATGCCGCTGCCACCGCCGCCGAGGGCGGCCTTCAAGAAGCGCGAGCGGGCCCCCGGCCAAGCAGGCGACGCCGATACGGGAGCGAGTGCCTCACGCCGCCCACGTCGCATGGCTAGCTCAGCACCGCAGCCCACTGCCCGGAAGCAGCCGACTGGGCGTATCCAACCGTATGACGCGCCACAACTCCCGACAAATGCGCCGGCGCCTGACGCCGACCCAAAGGTCATCCGGAAGTACATCATGGCACAAGGGGTATGCTTCAACCATGCCCGAGGGCTGCAATGCCAACGAATGGTGCAGGATCACCACTGCCGCTACCGACACACCAACGAGCCCATCCCATTTAAGACGTACCCCTTCCCGCCTGGGGATGCGACCGCTTCGATGGTGGCCGTGCAGGATTACGACGAAAACGTCCTGTATGCGGTGGAGGCCTTCGCCGGCTTGACGGGGCCCTATGTGCACGATGCAGCAGAGGACACGCCCGACACCAGCGCCTGAAGGTACGCCCTGGAGGGCACCTCACCGAGGGACTCTCTGGGGAACACACCACCTCATCGCAGGCGGGAGTCGGAGGAGGAGACTACCTGTGTGGCTGTCTCCACCGTCGCTCCCGCCTCCGATGCGAAGCCGTCGAAGGGCTCCCACCAAACATGGGTGACGGCGTACCTGTGGAATACAGCCCAACGACGGCGTGGCTACCGTACCACGGTACTGCTGGACACGGGCGCTGCGGGCGGATCCTACGCTTCAGTCGCCTTCATCCATGCCGTGGAGGACACCGAATACGCTGGTAAACGCATCATCTCCAGACGGGGGCGAGGCTTCCTACGTGCCGCCAACCCCGCCGACAGCGGTGTTGCGCCCATGAAGATCATCGGCACGGCGAACCTCCCGCTGGTTTTCCCACCTGTGGACCGTGTATTCCGTGCGCGTGTCCGTGTGGTAGAAGGTTTACCCTTTGGCTTGATATTGGGTGCCGCCTTCATGCGACACTACAACAGCGTTATCGACTTCAACGGCGCTGGCGTCTTTAAGCCATCGAGGGACTCGCGCGGTGTGCCCCTCCTTCACCCCAAGCCGCCGCCTAAACCTCGGCCGTGGCGCGAACGCCAGCACCTCCTTAATGGTCTCCTCGCCACGCGGCGGGAGGGAGATGGCAACTGGTGTAGCGTGCCAGGGTGGCGGGCCTCCAAGGTTGGCGTCAGATCTGGACGGGCTCGGTGTGATAAAACCGGACACGTCCTGCCGACCGCTGCGACCCCCCCTCTGTTGGGTGTTGGACAACCGCCGGAGAGCTTTTTCGCCGCCGCATGGCGCACCGAGGACCACGAGACAGACGGGGGGGAGGAGCCTGCCTTGCTGCCCCAACTAGCGGCTGCTGAAGCTATGGACCTCGGTGTAGCAGCGTGGGAGGACGGAGGATCGTTACGTTGGCCGATGATTTTGACCGAAACGCACACCCTGGCCGGAAGGGTAAGCGCTGAAGTGGAGGCGACGTTACCGGGCCCCCAGCCCCACACGGCGCAACTGCTGGTGGTGTTTCCGTTGGACCTGTTTGACTTGGAAACTGATGCCGAGCTCGGCATTGCCAAAGGTGTACAATGGTGGACCCCAGGCACCGCGCCTAAACTCAAGTTGGTCAACCGCGCCACCAACCCCAGAACCGTTAAACAGGGCGTACAGGTAGCCACAGCCTATGCCACCAACTGTGACGACATCGAGCGGATGCTCCTCCTGAAAGAGCCAGAGCCGACTCCGCCCTCGCCAACCCCACCTGCCGCACCGGGCAAGCCCCTGGAAAGGACCGGAGAGCCAGACATCCGCGTGAGTGAAGCAAACACGGGGCAGCTAGGTCATCAGAGTCGTCTCCAACTCTTGGAGCTGCTGGCGCGCGCCAAGGCGAAAGGTTTGTTCCCGGCCAACCCCAAGGTTGTTGCCGCGCTGCCGGGCCGTGAGGTACCCATCCCACTGATCGACGAGAACGTCACACCGGTCGCCTGCNAAAAAAAAAAACAAAAAACCAAGGGAGTATGCAGCCCGGTAATATTAGTTGCGGCCGGCGGAACGCGGCGGAAGTATAATCTGCATGTCAGTTGGTGTGCCCGCACCTACAATTATAGGTGATAAAGGCGTGGTCACTCCTCCTTCCCTGCTGCTCAGTGTCAGGCTGAACACCTCCGTACACTTTTGGTGCCCAGGTGTGGTGACTGGTGTGTATACTGTGTGTTAGCTAACATGGTTTCGTGGCGGCCGTCGGTGTCTGGGTCGAGCCACCGCAGCAGCAGCACATTGTGCAAACATGGTTCTAAGTTCGGGGTGTGATTCATTGTCGGAGATCGGAAATGCTATTTTTCACCAGCGTGTCGCGTGATGCCTTCGCAGCGCGACACTGGTGTTGGCTTGAATAACTTGGAGCCCTCTAGGAGAAGAACGAGGATACTACTAGACCCATGCTCCCCCACCATGATACAGTATGGTAGTACCAGATCGTTGCACACAATAGGCTGCGTGCACACAGTAAGTTGGGCTGATTCGTGCAGGGGAGGCGTAATCGGTGACGCATGAAGAGCAGCGGAAAAAAATATGAAAAACAGAGAGAGG